TAAGATCAGATTCTTGTATCAACTCAGGAAAAAAAAAAACCCACAAAACCACTATGTCGTTATGGAACTGTTACGCATTTATTCAAATCTAGGTATGCTTACTGAACATGATTAATCTGAGAGGGAAATTACAACTTCATACATATTTTTTTATTTTTGCCTTGCTGGGAAAACTGGATTGAATAAGAGATGCAAACTCAATATTATTCCAGTGATTTAGTAAAATAGACTGGGCATCTGTTAAGTCTATTAGAAATGTCAATATACAAAGTATATTGTCAAGTTGAATTAATTTGCTGTTCCCCAAAGTATGTATCAATTGTATTAAAAGTGTGTTTTTCAGTAAAAGGAACTTTATGTAAACGGTGATGTGGTAAGTAATTTCTTAAGCCATAAACAGTATTATTTACTCACATGGTGAAATATGCAGAGGAGCTGTTTTTTCTCTTCTTGCCTCTCTCTCACTTCAGTTTCAAGAATTAGCATTTTTGCCTGAAGGGCTTGTTCTTTGTATGACATTTTTTCCAGTTCTTCGGCTACCTGTAATAGTAATGAGAGAGAAAGGATGTATATTTACTTTCACTTAAAGCCCAAACCAAATTATTTTCTTACATCTCAGCTCTATTTCCTGTTCTGTCATCTAATATTTCAGCTACTTCCCATGCACAGAAACTAAACAAACCTGGGAAATATTCTGGCTAAATTTGAAAGAAGTTTCAATTTGGAAAAAAATGTCGTATATTGAGAGGGAGACACTTTTGTACCTCATTTGTCAGTTTACCCAAACTTGTTATTTTTTCAAAACCAAATCAATATCCTCAGACACTACTGAGAAAATTCAGATAGTTTATTTCAATGTGATTAATCTGAGACAGAAATTACAACTTCATACATATTTCCTGATTAAACTAATACAATTCACTGCAATCTAAATTCCTACATTTCCTCTTCCATTTGATTTACTGTTTGCATCCTTTCCACAAATGACAAATCTCTGCTTAATATTGAAAGTGTGCAAAGCCTTCCTCTAAAGTGAGAAGGATTTCAACACCAAAGTTCTTGCAGGCTACCTATTCCAAAGAGAATAAGAAAAAGGAAAGATTAAGCTTTTGTTCAGAAACATTTTGCTGTATGTGTGGGATGGAAATATTAGGTGGTTAAAGCATTTTGATTTGTCACCAAAAAAATGATGGTGAAATTTTGGTCCACTGAACTTCATCATTAATTTCAATAGGATCCGAATTCCACAAAGAAGTTGAATTTCCATATTTAAACATGCAGAATTCGCAGTAACTTTTTAGTATTGCTCCCTACATGCAGAATAATCTTGTCCCATCCTTTCTTCTCAAGCACATTTGATTTTAATGCTATTTTTAAATAGAAAATGGCAAACAAGATTAAGAGATGTATTAAATCATCAATACCATTTTTCTCCCTTCTTCCATAGCAGAATCCAGTTGTCTGGTTAATCCATTATATTCTGCAATTTTCTCCTCAAGCTGCAATTTACTGAACTGAAGACTCTCATCTTCTTTTTTGAGCTGACAAGCAAGTTCTTCATTTTGAAATTCCATCTTTTCTAATTGCCTTTACACAAAACAGATTAATATATTATAATTCACTATAGCAGAAAAGTGTAGGAATTAATTGCAGTCAGATTTTTAAAAAGTTACCTTTTAAGATCTTCATATTTCTTCTGAATGTTACGGTTTTCTTCTTCTAAGGAGTGACTGCCCACGGAAGTTACACTGTCTTCCTCTTGTGAAAATGACAATTCATTTCTAGTTGAAGAGACCTATATACAGGATATTACAGAGTAAAGTAAGTTTGCCTATTAAAATCCAATCAAACAATTTAACTGTAATTTCAGGTAAACACTATATTATATTCAAGTAAGCATTATCTTGTATTTAAAACAAATAAAATACAGCCAAAGTAGCAGGCTAAAACTTTGTGTGAACACTTTAGGCCTGAAAACCTGCTATGTAACAAAGTGAAGTCCTAACAAAACCCATATGCTGCTCATGCAGCCTTGTGTATTAGGAGCTGGCCAGGTTTACCTCCTTGTGAACTTTGACTCTTAAGCTTTAGATTCCAGCAAAAGTAAGTTCCCTCACACTACAGTCACAGGAAGCATAAAAATAATACCACATATATACACAGTTATCACAGAACAGTGTAGCACTGGCAAAGAATTTCATCAAGTAGTGAATATCAAAAAAGACAATCAAGTTCATGAAAACAGGTATATTAGTAGCAGAAGCTGAAGAAAGCAAGAAGCCAAACTGTCTTCCCCTGCTCAGCATCCAGATTGACAAACCGTTACATGTTTTCTTTTAAATCTCACAACGGTAGCGATGAGATTATTGCCCTTGCTACCACCCATCAACAGCAGATTAGCAATAATAGCCACACCACCAGCCTGCTGGCACCATTATTTAAGGGGCAACCTCCATCATTCACAGGACTACCTCAAGCAGTTCCATCCAGTAATTTGAGCTAATCTGGTTGACTTCGCTTATGTGAGTTACAGGCTGTTCAGCTAGCAGAAACCTCCAGCAGAGGGGCGGTAAACTGATGTCCTGGCCCAGCTGAACACAAAAGGGAGGGTTTCTGCACACGGTCCAGTTACTTCAAAAGGAATTTTCCTCAATTCTGATCATAGGATCAAGGGTTAGAATCTCTAAAAGACATCACCAAGATTTAATGCTGAAATTTAACTGCTGTTCCACCAGACTAGTGATTATGTTCCCAATTACTGCACTATACTTAAGAGGTTTTTTGCATTTATTCAGGAAAACACGTAGTGAGATTAAAATTACATATATGATTTTATATATGCACCTCCAAATTAATTGTTGCTTACGTACTTTGCTAAGCAAAGGTGGATTTATGAGTTTATGAGCATTCCTGGAAGGAGCATTTAAAATGATAAAAAACAAGAACAAAATTTGATGCTATAACGATCATCTTGACAAGAAGTTTAAAACAAAATCAAGAGCTATTTTTTTTATAAGCATATAAAGCCTACAGGGACACAGAGACTCACTGTGTTTCAGCTGAAGTTTTCCCAGTGACACAGGAAGATTAAGCCCCTTTCCCACCCTACTGATTCAAACAAACACCTTTGTCTTTCGTGCTAGCAGAATATTCTCTTCTAACTCAAAAGCACATAAAGCAGAAGAGAGAACAACAAAAAATCCCAGACTTAGCCCTGCCATTGAAACTGATGTCACAGACAAAAAAAGCTGAGGAATATTCATATTCAGGCTTAAGAGGAAAAACAAGCAGTAGTGCTAAAATACTGCTGAAAATAGAAGTGATCCTAATAAAGCATATTTTTTTAATATATTTTATCAACCAACACAATGTAATCACTAAAATGTTAAAGTCATCATCAACAATATAATTTATGACTATCTGAGCAAATATTGTCTGGATTATAAATTAGTCACTAAAAACAAAATGAATGTGGAATTAAATTATTCCACCAGATACAAACAATAATTAGACTTGCACATCTATTTCCAGGGAAAAATACTGCAACACATCTCAGGACATAAGTATTCAAAAGGATCAAGAATACACTCACTTAAAAGATACAGAATCTAAAAGGAAATGTAAGTAGTCTTGTCACATACTGAAGTAATGTAAATACAGTTGGTGATAGTTTTATTTGCATTGTGCTATTTCTACAGAAGGAGCTTTTGATTTATGAAGCAAGTAACAAAGGAAACCACACAACTGTCACACACACTAACAGGAAAAAACTGTTCCAGAGACTTTCTTCCACATAATTTTCTCATTTGTCTTTAAAAATCAGCATGTTCTAAGCACCTGAACCTGCAGCTCCCTAAGGGTTTTGCATTTCTGTGCATGGATCCTTTCCCAGGACATAAGCTTTTCCTGATATCTTTGCTGCTTTTCTTCAGCTGCTTTCAGCAAGTCACAAACATGTTCTAAGTCCTTTAACTCAGCCTCCATTTTGTCCCTCAGCTGCATCATAGCATCACAGGAGAAAAATGTAAGTGTAAAACCATAAATTAATTGTTGTAATACTTAATTGCTTTCCATGTAAGTAATAAATCTGAAATTCTACACAAGTTGCATAATGTCACCTATTTTACAAAATACAAGTTCACCATTGAAGAAATGTCTCTCTCTGACTACGTTTCATAAAAGACTCAGCAACAGTCACAATGAACATTTACAAAATTATGCAAGTGTTAGCAGTTCATCATGCGATACCCAAATTTTTATTTTATTTTTATTGCAATATATTTTGGGAGATGGCATACAGGCATGCTAAGCAGCTTACAGGAAAAATTTTGACCGTACAACTATTGCAGTATTTGAAAAGAGGGCAACACCTAACACCACCTGAAGCCACATACAATGCTGTGCAAATATTATTTAGGGGATCAGAAAATATTTTTCTCTATTCGACAACCAAATCATTGAAAAATAATTAGTATAGAATAAAATGAACATCTGAGATGCTTCTCTGTGAGGACTAATTCTGTTCTGTAAACTAGAACATTGCAAGCAATGCAAAACCTGTCCCTGCCTCAGCTTCATCACTTAAAAGACTATGTATTTTGGTGAGCAGTGGAACTGAGGAAACTGATTTTCCTACCAATTTTGTATTGTTTTCTGATGCTTAAGAATGTGCTAACTGTGTTCCAGTATTCAGCTCCACCTGCTGAAAAAAACTTAAAACTCATCTCTGTATTGATTCTCCATTTTAACTGCTAGTTAAAACAACCAACTTACACTGCAAAGCAGTCTTACAGTAGATTTGCTTCCCTATGCAACTTTCACAGCTGTTCTGTTGAGAGGTCTAGTTTTAAAATCATCAATAACAAAATCACATTTTTAAAAGTCATAAAATGAATGCTTAAGTTCTAAAATAGCATTTCTCTAGGAAACATTTCTCACCTGTTTGCAATTGTGTAGTATCCAAAAAACCACCCGCTCACAAGTAAGAGTTAGTAAAGCATTCAATGAATTCGAAAACAACTTTATAGATGGAACAAGAAAAAAGAAAAAGAGCCAGTACCTTGTAACTTCTAATACATGGATCACAACAATGTAGTGATTGTCAGTGTCCTACAGAATTGTTTGGAAATACGCTTTATTACTGCAAAACTTACCTTATCTACTTCTAAGCATTTGTTTTCTGTTATTCTTTTGTTTTCATTTAAGACTGTTTCATATCTGGATTTCAATTCTTCTACTGCTGTTTGTAATTTTTGTACCTAGGACACAATATATTTTTCACATACATTTTCAAGGTGTTTCTTTTAAATATAGAAAAGAGAATCATTAGTATGAAGCATAAAGTAAAACCTTTGATTTCTAAATAGAATCTCAATATTTGTCGTTATATGGAGTTATTTATTTTCATTATCCTACTCACTACAGCAAATATAAAAGGGTAACCAGGTAAAGAGCACTCTCATATCAACATTTCGTTTTCAACAATGGAGAATGAGCTACAGTTGTGCTACAGAAGCAGCCAGCATGACTCGCCCTTCTCTCCCCAGATAACAAGTATCACCAACAACAGTTCCCATCTGGAGTCACCACAGCTACAGGCTAGGGAATTTCATCCTACTCACTGCTTAAGGTTAGCTGTTCCCTGGAACTACATCTCCTATCTTAAAGCTGGCAACGCTTTAACTGTGGTGATGTGTCCCACCGACAAGGCACACTGGTTGTACTTAAGAGTTAGTATCAAGTCTTTCCTCTTGTCAATGATTTTTAAAGAAAGGTAAGTGAAGACTGCCAGTGAAATAGTATCTATACTATAGCAGAAATATATACAACTTTAAATCAATGTTCTAAAATTCCTTCTCTGTGAGTAAAGCCAAATACAAAAAAAGGAATTGATAAAAAGCCCATTTTAAGTCTGATTTATATGTTTTGCTGGTATTTTCAATGTGGAGCTACCGATGTAAATAAAAAAACTCTTACAACAGTACTTGAGTGCCGTTTTACTGTTCTTAGGAACGTGGAAATAAAGATATGACCAAGGAGAGGTAAAATATCATTGGATATGCCCACTAAAGACATCAGACTCAAATTCTACTTTTTAAGTATAGTTTACTGGGTTGCCAACCTGCTTTTTAGGAAGCAAATCTTTTCTGAGCAAGTATGTAATTAGCTCTGTTGGCTTCAATGAGCTTCAACCAGGCTTCACACAATTCAGTAAGGATTATGTGTACTAGTAATAGTGTGGAGACTATTCCTGGATATGGTTTGTAATGGCACTCTCTTCTATCATCCTCAATGTGATGACAGTATTACAGTCAACATGACAACAAATCTGTTTTATTACAAATAAAACCTTTATCATTTCCTCAAAACTACTTAAAAATTTAAAACCCATACTTGAACATTTCAAATATGCTAGTCACCTGATTTTTATACTGTTCAACAAGGTTTCCCTGCACCTTTGCCTTTTCTTGCAGATTTAGCAGTTCATTTTCAACAGAAACAGTACTGGTTTCCAATGTAGCAAGGGAAGCCTTGATTAAAACATGGAAAATATAAAAATTGTAAGTGTTATTAAAATAAGACAATCTACAATATGGTATTACTAGCAAGTGACCTGCAGACATTAAAAAGAGTGACACAATTATTTATCCTGTCAAACAAAAATGATAGCCCACAGCTCATTTGTCAGCTCATCAGAATATTTACTTTGGAGGATAAATAAAATACAAAATCTGTAAACCGTTCAAAAAATTGAAATTAATAATTGAGCTAAACTCAGTTCTTTAATTTGAAAGAAAATTTTACAAACATAAAAAAACAATTTCCAATTAAGCAATTTTGTAGTTACTGACAGTAAAATAAATGGCATCCTTGTTAAGCAGATAGATGATTGGCCAATCCTGTTCCTAGATTTGCCACAGATTTCCACTGATACATTTTCAACGTCTCATTTTCACTTAGTGTAAAAAATGGATGGCAAAATTTATTCTACAGGTTTGTGATCTCTAGACAGAAGGCCAAAAGGGAATTAATGTGGTTACTTTATTAATGTATCAGAAATGCAGAGCCATTCAACAATGATTTAAAATAAACTCACCTTTAATTTTTCATTTTCAAGGTAAATCTTTTCATTTTCAGAGTTAACAGAATTTAGCTTTCCAAGAATTTCCTCATCTGAGTTTCTTCTCCATTCCTCCTTTCTTTTCAGGTCTTCCAAAAGGCTTGTGATCTGCCTTGTTAGACAGGCAAGAACATCTATATCATATATAATGCTTCCAAAACTCTCACTATGCAAATGAATGTACCTTAATACATACTCCTTCGTTGTTCTTATTAAAAGAAAAAAAAAAACAACAAAAATTGGGAGAATGCATTTAAGCATCCCAAAAAAGCAGTATCTATTGAAATAAGAAACTTTCCAAAAGAGATGTGGTTCACCAAGGAAGTGGTCCTAGCTCAATTATAAATAAATTCATTACCTAGAACACCCAAGCATACTTCCAAGACAACTATGCGTACACATACTGTACAAAATGGAATGATATTGAATTTATAAGGACTATCAGATAATGTCCTACTAAGAACATTCCATAGCTAGTTTAGGAATGGTACTTTCCATTATTAAAAGCAACTAATTGTGCTATATGCCTCACCATTTGCTTTTCGTGTTATGAAGTTAAACAATGAAATCTGTTTTGCTGTTTAGTTAGTCATACAGTGTCTAGTAGAACAAGTCTGCTTGAAAGGTACCATTCTAACAAAAGACTTATGTTTTCAGCTCAAATAAAACCGCAAAAACCAGCTGGAAGCAGAAAGAGTACTTCAGGGAAGTATCATAGATGTTTCCCTTTTCTTATTCTTTCCCAGATGCCTCCTCATATACACTAGACCAATGTTGGGCTAGACAGATTTCTGGACTGATGTCGTGTACCTGTACTCCTGTTAAAATTTAAAATTTGCTAAAAATATTTTCAGAAATGTCAGATTTTCGGAAACAAAAACAAAAGAGCCAAGCCAGTTTAATTTGAGCTGTTATGTATTTAAGCATGAATCAATTTCTTTGTAAAATAAACATTCTGTCTTAGACCTAGCATAAAAGCACCTACCAGTTTCTTTTGCTTATTTGAATTATAGTCCATATTTCTACCGACAGAAAAGGTAAAAGGATATTTGTCACTGTCTGCCAAAGAAAACGGCACATCCTTCATGTACATTAAGATTTGACTGCATAGTTTTAATAAGGTTGGACAATTTTGTGTTGCTTTGCTTTACAAGAATAAGCTGTTCAAACACGCACCTGAGAGGAACTCTTCTCTATCCTCTAGTGCGGTGAGACATTAGTGGAACTGAAATAATTTTGCTGTCATTAGTCTGAAGTAGAAACTAGAAGCCTAAGTAAGAACCTTCTTCTATACTGCAATAGACACATGAGTTAACACTCAAGCTGTTTAATCAGTTTCTAAACAAATGGTTCTGAGGAAGCAGCATACTACCTACTAGCAAGTTCAGGCTAATTGGAAGTATGCAGGGGAAAGAACATGTTCCTTACTTGTATGGGGGAATCAAGTTTTAAATAAAGTTGTGACATGCAGCAGAGAGGCGGCTACAAATCTTAAATTTTTTCTAGTTTCCAACTTTTAAATTCTGCTCAGAATTTTAAAATATGAATAAACTTGTTCACATTGTCAACCTGAGTACTACACTACTAAATATCAAGACTGTGTGACTACAGAAACCCCAAAAAATAGATCAACAGTTTAACTTACTTCTTAAGATCTTCTGTTTGAATTTCTAATGTTGTCTTTCCTTCAACCATTCTATCATGCTGGTTTTTCCAGACATCGGAAGCTGACAGTATCTCAGACAGTTTGACTTCCTAGGGAATACAGGAATTACAAATTACGTAACAAAAGAATGCCACTGAAGAATACCATCTAGTTCTACAAAATTTTCTAAACACAAGAGCAATTTAATATAAGATGGCTTAGATCTCCCTAGTACAAAGCAATGTAAATTTTGTCTTGTCTCAAAAGAAAATAAACAAAACTACAAGCATTTAAAAAACTTAAGGTCTACGTACAGATTTACGTTCAAGGCAGAGACAGTTAAACACTGGCACTGTATATCAACTGTAGAACACTACAATATTTCAAAATTTAAGATGAAAATATTTTCTTACAATAAAAATATTTGTCTCCAATACATCTCTACTACATATAAATTATATAAATTAATACAAAAATAAAATTCTGCCAAAACTTTTTAAGAATAAAAAATAATAGCTAGGTAAGAAATGCAAAGTTAAGTAAAGCCCCTCAAAGAAGTATGGATAATTAACCAACACGTGCTATCTTGAAAGTACACCAGGTCTTCAATGGGGAAAGAGAACAATAGTGCGACTACAAAAAATCAAAAAAATCAGGAGTTAGCTGCCATCCCTCTGTACTGCTCAGCGTACTTAAAGATCCACTACCATCTTCTCACAAAGATCAAAGAAAACACAAAAACATTGTTAACCATCTCCTAGTATACTAACTGGAAAAATATATCTTTAATACTGACATATCCAAAATGACGGCAACACATTTAAGAGTATGAAAACATACTCTTATTAGGCAATCTAAATAAGGCAATAAAGATCTCAGCACAGTTCTGATTCACCTGGCCTTCTTGAACCATTACACACTGTAGGGATATGCGGGATAAGAATCTAAGGAAGAATTTGGATTAAAGCAGTTTTGTACATGGATTTTGAAAAGGTTCAGAGCAAGCAGCTTAGAAACAGAAAGCTAAGTATCCACATGAGATGTCATACACTGATAAATAAAGAAAACAAAGACTTCAAACTCCATCATGGATTCTCAGTTAGTATACTGTATTTCTGAGATTAGTCAGTGTATATCCATAAAGGTCTAACAGGAAGATCAGGAGAGGTGTAACTGAAAGCTGATCAGACTCCTCTTACTTACTACAGTTTGAAGCATACAACCTCATGGCTTAAGACATTCACTAAATTTTAACAAAACAAAGGCAGTGAATGTAGTTAACAGTTTGCGTGCCACTTATAGCAACCTTTTCCTTAACCAAGGAGCAAAAAAATAAGAGATACAAACACAGCACGACCAACCAATTTTTTCCTATTTTCCACAGGTGAAAGTCTCCCAATTGTTCAATTTAAAACAATACAGCACGACATTGCTCACAGCATAGTCACTCACACGTTCTCTTATTCTGGAGGTTAAATTTTCCACAGCTGCTTCAAAGCGTTCAGCTCTTCGTTTCTGGGACCTGATTGCTTTTTTCAGAGCAGTCTTCTTTTGCTCACTTGTTTCCCTTAAGGCTAACATCTGGTGCTTGTATTCACCAACTTGAAGTTTCCACTCTGCTATTTTCTTTTCTAGAGTCTGCAGTATAATTAAACATCAACTCTTTTCAAATTCTATACCTTACAGACCATTTTGTGACATAACATAATCAAGAACAGCAATTACATTTATAATCTGTTTCCATAACGTCTTTGTATCTCAAATCTTGTGGTTGATACAACGAGCTAGCCAAGGTATGTGGCTAGCAGTAGGCAAGAGAAAATACATTTTAGGAAACTCATTATAAAGATAATCAAGAGAAGATGTCGAGGAGGTGCAGAAGCAGGCACGAGTGGGGGAAAGACAGCAATCCAACCATTGCTGTGTGCTCTTGGAAGTGAATGCAGAATTTCAACGTAGAAAGCATAGCATGGAAGTTAAACCCATTTATGAGGAAAATAAAGTGTCATCATAATGTTTCATCATCCCTAGTGACTGATTTCTGTAAAGAACACCACCTTAATGATGCTACTAGTGATATTCACTGATGTAGTAGTAGTCTGTGCTCTGAATCTATAGTGAGCACACACATAACTAGGGCTGGAGATCAGTATAACTGTATACGAAATTTGAATATGAAAGTTAAGATCTTGGATTTGGGTTTTTTAAGTCAAGGAGGTAGGAAAGGCTGGGGTCTTTTCCTGAATATATGTATTACGATATGGTCTGTGATTAGATGACAATATATTATTTTCTTGCAAGATCTGTGACTTTTTCCATGCATGTGATGGCCCCGCTCTATTAAAGAAACAGAATTGCTTAGTGAAGAAACTATTTTTTATGGAAAGTTATATTTGGTGTTGAAAGTATAGTGAAGCAGAAAACACAAAAAGAAAAGATTAAGCACTGCCTTGTCCACAGCAGACAATTGTTTAAAGATAATTAAAACAGGCTATGATAAAGCTTAAACCACAGCAGTAAATCACACATTGTAAGGACAACAAATAACTATAATTTCCCGAGTGCTTTCTGCAGCACTTAGGAAATAAAATACATTTGCATTAAATATATTTTTATTTAAATACATGTAAAAATACATTTGCATTAAATGTATTTTTAATGCATTTAATTGTATTATCAAATGTGTACAATGCAATTGAGATGACAGCTGGGTTCTACAACTGTCATTATATTATCTTTGCTATTGCTGTTAATATTTCTGACTAACTAGATTTTTACATCACTCCGATGAAGGCAGTGTAATGATCCTATCCAATCCAGGAAGCTGACCTAACTTCATGACTTTTGTATTTTTCATCTACATATCACTTGTTATTTAAATATGAATGGAAAAAGAGGCCAGACATTAACACACTACATGATGACATACAATCAAAGCAATACCAGACTCTGCTTCAAGGAGAATCTCAGATGTGATTATTTTTAAGGTGCTACAGCTTATCAAAAACATGACGAAGCTACCAGTAGACAACTACTTTCATAAAGACAAGTGCAAGTTCCATTAATATCACTTACTATTCTTCTGCCAAACTACAGCAACGTAAGTAGGCTCGCCGCGTAAATACATTTGTCTCAAGTCACTGATAAATATCCTAATTGTAAGAATAATTAATGCATTTGTTTCCTACATTTGAGTCTAGGTCTGACACTTAATTATGTTCTACATGAATAAAGACTAGAATGACATGCCATTTACCTACTGACTACACTAATGTGCCAGCCTTATTCAAGATACTATTTGCCAGTTGCTATAAAATACGTGTATTATGCATATGAGAGGATATCTGTCAGTATAGGTCCTGCTAATGGCCCCAAAACTTATCCATAATCAGTGCAAAATGTATGCGGTTTTCCAAGTGAAAGATGGTCTCAGGTATTGGGACCCAAAAAAAAAGGAAAATACTCTTTCAAAAAATGAAATTATAAAAATCCCTAAATATGCAGGAAGCAGTTTTCATATATAGATGCTTATAGGGCATTTAATAAACAAAGATGTGACTTGCGGGGGCGGTAGGAGAACACCTTCAATAAATAGAGCAAATACAAAATCTGAGTCTATGTACGGACTTCTTTAACTGTTGGTATAAGTAAACAACTGTTATCCCCTGTTATAACCGCAGGAGGTCACAATCACGCTAAGAATAAGTGCTTTGGACATTATTCAGTGACTGAGGTAAATTTAAATTGAGAATTAATTTCATAAGGGTAATGCTAAGCAGTCGCAAGCTTCTGTCCAGATATTAACAAAATCATCACCAGGATTTCAGCTAGCAACTGATTTCACTTTTTGAAGAGCAAACAAACAAAACTTTTAAATAAAGATTGAATACACATACAGTTGTATATCAAGTTACTTTATCAAAGTATCACTTAATGAAAATGTTGTTGGAATTCTAATAATTGTACTAGGTAGAACAATAAAGCAATTTTTATTCAGAAGAAAACATGAGGTATTTATACAGACATAGACATACGTGACTTCTTTTGAAATTGAGTTGCTAAAGGTTCCTTAACAACTTCAAATGATAAAATTCGTAGGGGATGTATGCTACTAAAAAAAGTTTGTACATTAGAAATACATTATTTTTCAGCCAATATTCTCCAATTCATGCCTATGTTCTTGACAAGTTTCAAATACTAAAATCTGAGGCCACATACATCTCCAGCCTCTGACACACGACCTCTTCCTTGCCTCATTCTAAAGCCAGTAACTGCTGCAAATGCCCAAATTCACCTCTTGCTTTTTAGAACAAACAATGGAAATCATTTCACCTACCTTAAACAAAGTGAGGTTAGGCATTAGTCTCAAGTGTTTCTCTTTCAGCCAGTATTAAGAGGTTTACTGATTCCTTCACAGTCAATAAAAAGAAACAGGTGGTGATTCATCACGCTTAGCTTGCAACAGAAACTCATCCTGGGGACTTGCCTATCTCTTTCTATTGACTATATAGAGACTGCCTCAGGATCGATACCTATCTTCTAGATAGCACAGTTAAGTAAGTGCAAATGCTTCTATGTGTGCTTAACTTCTCTTCAGCAGAACTGTTAGTATGCACAAATTGAGAAAAGAAGAAAAAAAAAAACAACCTTGCAATTAAGATAGTGTGGTCAGGCAGACTGTGCAAAATATAAATGCTAATGATTTTTATTCTTTGGGATTTTTACCAAGACTTTGATTTCAAGTGATACTTTAAGATTTCTCTCTTACATCTGAGTTAAACTGTGACCACAATAAGACTTTGCTAAGTTTTTCAAATAAACTAAAACACAAGTAAGAATATGTTGACCTGTATTTTCACTTTTAATTCACGGTTTTCCACTTCTTTTCTTTGAATCTGACTTTGCAGGTGAGCTTGTACTGCCTCTACTGATCTTGACAGGTGGTCTTCTTTCCGTATATTGATCTAATAAAGAGAAGTAAACACAAATCTATTGGTCTATGGAGATATGCTGTATGATGCTATTTATATTCTTTCTACTTTGCCTTACAGTTTCTAACGGACATTGGAATGTCCTCAAAAGCTGGAAAAGATAAAACATGCTCTACAAGAATATTCACAAGCAGTAACTTGTTACTAATGTTATTAATGTTAAACAGAAATCACAAAGTTGAAAGAATGTATGTATAATTGATGCCTCATATTTAATCTGACTCTTTAAGTAGTATGAACAAGGCCTGGAAGCACGAACTCAGAAATTCAGGCTGAGCAAAAGCATCTAGCTAGCAGGTTAACCAAAATTAAGCCACACTGATCAGCTCTGCCCTGACTAATTAGGCCTGAACTGATCTTCATTAAATACCAAAGACCACCACCTGCTATTAGAAGTATTGATACATTTAATTCAAACTCTAATTTGGGGGGGGGATACATAAAGCATAAGGGAAGAGGCAACTTATATCACCAGAACTGAGGTCAGATGATTCTTGCAACCTGATTCCTTTGGCTCGTTCTAAATAAGAAATAATGAAAACAGGTAGAAAGAAGTCATATTATCAGTATAGACTAGAAGAGCATTGTAATGCACGAGTGCAAGTGTTCATTATGGATACCAGGAAGAAAGGCAGACTCAGACTCACTCAGGTATTGATGAAAATGCCATTTATTGGAGATAACGTAAGAAGGAACAAGGGGATAGCATAGATAATAATTTATCCCTTTAGATGCTGGGCAGCCCAAGTCCTTCAGCATTAGATAGGTCTCTAGTCAGGGTATGGCATGCTGCACAGATCCCATCAATGCTGAGGTTTGCTGGCACTGTGGTCTTCAGAATCTTTATAGGCTTTTCTGTTCAGCATGTCTACTCTCAAACAAAAGGATGTTTCTTGCTGCTTCACTTCAAGATAAAGACAAGGACATGCCAATTGCCAGGTGTGAAAGTGGGTACCCTCACACCTCACCTCCTCTATTACAATTAGCTGGCTACGTTTATCCTGCAGCCAAGTGATATGCTCTCTTGGTTAAGCAAAGAAAAATTCTTAAAGAACAACCATGGCTCTCAACAAACCCCAAGGAGTGACAAAAATCACAGTACACCATTGTCCCCTTAAAGATTTCACTGATCCCACTCTGTCCCTCACTAACACTGAGCCACGCTGCACTGCATGCGCATAACATGCGCTTTAGGTATATAAGTACTGTAACACAAATTGCTAAACTACCAGTAAAATAATTTTGAAACTTTTGTAGTACCTTCTTATACAGGACAGATAATTCTTCTCTTCCTATATTGGTTTCTGCACTGAGCCCCTTCCTTTCGGTCAGAGAATGAATGAGGTCTTGTCAGCCTTTGATGATATTAGCTCTGCTGTCAGTACTACCTTTCCCTATTCATTAAGCTCAAAGAGCCATGGAAACTAACTGTGAACAGTATCTCTTTAGTTTACTCTGTATTACTTCATTATAAGTATTTTTTCCCAGAACTATTGCAAATCTGTAAACAAGAAGCCAAAAGCCATTAGTCTAGATGTATGCCCCTCCCTGAACCGTGGGACATTAGTGTTACAGATAACCTGCACCCTTAATAGGTTTGGATACAGTCTTGATGGTTTTAAGATATTTCTGTAGGAAACACCTTTCAGGATTTTCCTTTTTTCATAGATCTTTGAAACAATTGCTTGTCTCAAAATTTAAAATTTGTAAATAAGAATCTAGTACATTGGGAGAAAACATTCATTCCAACAGAACTGGTCACTCACTTTTTCAAGCTGAAGCCTGGATGAAAGTTCTTTAACATGTTTCTCCTTTTCTAGTATTTTTCTCCTGAGATTCTTCATGGAATAAAATTAACAAAGAAATTATTTTAATGTCTGTACACAACAATGCAACAGCAATGCACACTGATGAACATTTCAGATGTAAAACTAAGATTCCATTTTGTAATGATAAACCACAAATACTCCCACCTTGCCACTGTCACTTGAAATTGTATGATGCCATGACGTAGCCATTTTCAGATGTACAGCATAGAACAAGAAGAGACAGAAATTTTAATTTACTTACAGTATTTCGGGTTTCGTTTTCACTTAACTTCTGCATCAAAGTGTCAATGTTTTTACTGTTTAACTGCAAGACAGAAGCAGGAAACTTTAAAAAATTACTTCCGATTATAATTGTTGTAGCATTTTTTCAACGGTTTTGAATGTGGTACATATAATTTGCTACATTTTCAAATTTGGTACGTATAAATATAAAAGCTTGCATGCTCATGAGCTACTTAAAGTTGGTGGTTTAAACCCTAAAGATTCAATTTTATTTTGTGCATAGAACTTTGTAGCTGAGGAAAACAAACCAGGGAACTTTCTTAGTGCACAGGACATTAAAAAATCTTCCCAATACGTCTATTAAAGAAGATGGTAAGACTAAATGTTAGTTTAAGATTCGCATCAGAAATGTACATTTGCATTGGTTCTATGTTTATGCCTTACATATTTTCGTACCTGGTGTTCTAGACCGCCAGATTCTTTGCTTAGATCAGTAAAGTGTTTTCCATCTTGGATGGCTTTTGCAGTTCTATGATAATCCTTTTTATACGTCCGAATCATTGAACAGAGTTTTCCTGCTTCTCCAGGTGGCACATACGTTTTCCCCTGAAATAACATTCATAATTATGTAACAGTTAGTATCCCTCACAGCTGGGACACTGATATTGCTAACTGAAGGATATCAACATAAAACAAATCAGCTCTTCAAGAGAATCATTTAGGAGAAATTTTAAAGAGCAGAGAAATCTCTCATTTATGACTTGCAACAAGGGTAAAAGCCTGTGATATCACAGGATGTACCCTCAAACTGGTCACTCACAGAACACACCTAATCTACAAGGCAAAGGTGAACAGTTTACCTCCAGTGAAGGTGGAGGCCAAGTCCTGCTCAGACACCAGTTATTACATTTCACAGCAGAGTTCTTCCAATTTGGAAGCAGCAACGGCTCTTCTCTTTTCCCAGTTTGGAAAAGCTCCTCACCTTGCAGGGCTGCACAGGAACATGATGCTGCCCGTGTCACGGCAAGTCCAGAGCCAAGTACCAGTGCCTACTACCTAAACGCATCCCATTCCCCCCATCGCCTTGTCAAGCACCAGGAACCTGCCATCACCCTCACCCCTTCTCCAAACACCTCTCTCCTGCCTCTACCCTCACGCTCCAGCATGGCTGACGCCCTCGCCAAGCACAAAGTTATCTGTTTACTCCGCTCAGTGCTCCACTGACCACTCGTTATTTTCCAGAAGTGGATTGTCTTGCTTTCTCCACCCACCAGGCCCATTTCTCCCGCTTTCAGCCTGTGCCAGGTGCATCTCCACCAAAAGGATTTGTCAGACTAAGAGTTTATATTCTTACATCCGTATCTCCTTAGCATAATTAAGAAAACGAGTAACAGAACTTGGGAAGTTCCCAACTAAAAAAATCACTTCCTCACAGAATCAGAATGTAGACTGCTCTGCTTCCAACTGTTGCCATAAGGCAAATAACTACACTCCAAACGTCTGATGTTTTTTATTTTTTATATATATGTTTATGTGTCTTGTTTTATTACAGGCTTACATTTACTGGCAGACCTTAACTTGTGTAACACAGCACAGGTTTCTATAGCTTTTTCTTGGTTATATAACCAAAACTTAAGTTCTTGAATTTAATTACTTCCAGTGAAAACAGCATCTTGGAAGATTAAACATCGTGTTTCATTTATCCTAGCCCATCTATGTAAGCAGAAAAGAACAAGTAAGAATTTTTCCATAGTTTCAGTATGCCATTTTTATGTCCAGCACTCTTGACTACCCATTTTTTGAATTATCACCTACTTCCCATCTGTAGCTAGGAAGTATGTTTTGAAATACCCGTTTTGAATCTTGTTAACAAAGTAAACAGAATGAAAAAAATCAAGCTTAACAGGAACAGAATGAGCTTGCCTCAGTGGCATGAAGAAGCAGCAGCTTTTCCTGAAGATCAGAGTCCAATAAAGGAGCGGTACAGTTATGTACAGGTAAAGGTGAGGATGATTGCGATGATGACGACATTTTGTTTTAACGCTGTATAACGAGACAGTATATGTTAACATATATTGGTGTTCTGTGAATCAGTAACTGAAACATTATTGGCATCTCAGGTCATTCCCACTAGAAAATAGTGTACCAGACCAAGTAAACCCCAGTCTCATCAGAGATTTACCACAGTTAATGCAACTGAAATCTTGCACACGTATTCATACCTTGTAATCACTCAAGCGGCACTGAATTCACACATTTGGTGCACAGAAATCAAATCCCTCAACAGCAGAAAACTGAATACAGACGAAGGACGGGGTAAAGCTCACAGCTGCCATTTCCCACTTCCGCGCTCCCCAGCCCAGAGGGTGAGGAGCAGGGGCGCAGGCCACCCAACGGCGGCCGTCACCCCGAGCCCTGCCTCGGGCCCTGTCCCCTCTCCCCTCCCCAAGCGCCCCAGCGCCCGCCTTGCCTGCGG